GTCATTCTGAAGAAAATCATAAAGCAAAATTCCAGAAGGTATGATAGAGTATATAAATGGCATGTAGGGTCTCATAGGACTGTGGGTAGCAGTAGATTTTAAAAGACATGAGGAGTGAAGGCAAGACTGGGAGTGTAAAGGAAAGGAGTAGATTGGGGTGTCCACCAGAAGCTGACAGTCACTTCTATCACTGTTATTCTAGTCACCATTTCAGCCTCTTTTGTACATTACCCTCTTCACTGTTATGCTTTTAAATCAAAGGAATCACCTTGATGTCTGTACAAAGAGTTTGGTATGTGGCACACCAAGTCTCCTTAAACTACAGTTCTGAATGTAGCTGACTCAGTGATAAAACAGTTGCTTTATTTTGCCATTAGAGGATATTCCTGCCCCAATAAAACCTGACTACTGATTTTTTTTTCTTTTCTTTTTTTTTTTTTTTTTGCTAAATAGGAACTGATTTTAACTTAAGTGATTTGGGGGGTGAGATTTACTTTCCTTTGGGGTAAATTTGAAATTACTGAAACAAATTCTAGAGACATTTTTTAATGTTGTTAATTTGATCACGTTAGTTTTTAGTTTCTTAATTTACCTTAGTATAGACATTATTTTAATTAGTTCACTTTTTAAAACTTCCAGTTTACAAAATGTTTAAGAGTAGATTTTTGTTTGTTTGTTTGTTTTTTGCGATACGCGGGCCTCTCACTGCTGTGGCCTCTCCCGTTGCGGAGCTCAGGCTCCGGACGCGCAGGCTCAGCGGCCGTGGCTCACGGCCCCAGCCGCTCCGCGGCATGTGGGATCTTCCCGGACCGGGGCACGAACCCGTGTCCCCTGCATCGGCAAGCGGACTCTCAACCACTGTGCCACCAGGGAAGCCCTAAGAGTAGATTTTAATCTGATACAATCTTAGCTTGTTAAACAGGTTAAATTTAGGTCATTCTTCTAAATAACTCCCAAGGTTAGGAAAAATTGCCATGTGTGTCTGAAGCAAATTTCATTTAAAATATTTTAGAATCGTTTGGTAAGAGTATGGTTCACTTTAGACTATTAAATCCAGCAGGCTATGTACCTATATTTTAGGGAAGGGAGTTTCCAGACTGCAGATTATCTAATTAAATAGAACATCTAGAATGGCTTTTAAATATGCCCCTTCTCCCGTATTTCACAACCCTTAGGAAGAAAGAGATGTTCTTTGCTGCTCTTCAGGACTCATCTTTTAATAGCTTCAAAAATTTTGGAGTTGGGGCTTCCCTGGTGGCGCAGTGGTTGAGAGTCCGCCTGCCGATGCAGGGGACACGGGTTTGTGCCCCGGTCCGGGAAGATCCCACATGCCGTGGAGCGGCTGGGCCCGTGAGCCACGGCCGCTGAGCCTGCGCGTCCGCAGGCTGTGCTCCGCAACGGGAGAGGCCACAGCAGTGAGAGGCCCGCGTACCGCAAAAAAAAAAAAAAAAGAAAAAAAAAATTTGGAGTTGGCTCCATCTGCTTATTTCCCCCCTCCTTAACCTCATTAATGTTATCTAAAGACCTTTACAGTTCTCTTTATCTTCCTAGAAAATTTCAATACATGACTCATGAAATTTCTCCCTACTTTTTCTTTTTTATCACCTTGAAGCTTTTCCAATACCCAAACTAATAATCCTTATAACATATGTGCTAGAGTGTTTCTTAATTTACCCAATTCCAATGTCTTTTATCTCCATTTCTCCTAAGTTAACTATAGGGATGGCCATATACCAGAATTCATCATAATTTGGAACTACTCCAGCTTAAAATTTTTGAACTCTGAAATTTCCCTTTCAGATCATAATTTCAGATTAGGCCACTATCTTCCATTCATTCATTTAGCAAATATTTATTGAGTGCCTATTATACACTGAACTTTATAGTCCTCTCTTTTAACTATGCTACATGGGCTTCTCCTTTATCTTCACTTCTAGTTCTTTGATACTCTGCCCTGCTTGTTATTGTATTACTACCCTGAATCTAACCTCATGTGCTTTTCTACCTGTAATGGACCTCATGGTTGGTCATTTCAACTGCACTTTAAATCTGAACCTTCAATTCTGACTTCTTTTCCTTAGGCTCTTTTATGATTTCCTCTGACCTTATTCATTATTATTATATTTTACAATCAATATGTATTGATATTTCCCTACATGTTTATGCTTTATATTGTTCTATATTCCATCCTGCTTTTGTCTAGGGCCTCCCTTTAATTAATAATTAATTAATTTAGTGTAGGTCTGCTGGTGACGAATTCTGGTTTTGTTTATTGACTTATGACATCTTTATTTCCTTTTTATTTTAGAAGGGTATTTTTTTTTTTTTACCAGGTATAGAAGTATAGGTTAGCAGTTATTTTCTTTGGGCCCTTTAAAGACTCAAGGCAAGAGTCTATATCAGGTCCACCCCTGCTCTTAGAGTGTTTTGAGAGCCTGGGGTGTTTATAGGGGCTTCCCTACTGGCAGATCATGAACTATAACCCTTGTCCTCTCAGCGCTGAGAAACGTCCAAATACTCCAATTGTAGGTAATTATAAGGACTTTGGCTGTTATTCTGTGTGAGGTGAGAAGTCACTGGAGAGTTTGAATGGAGGAGTGATACACACAAGAATTTCTCTGTTTGCTGTGGTTTAAAAAAAGGAAGACCATGAAGAAGCAAAGAAGAACCTGAGAAGACCAGTTAGGAGGCTATTGCAAAAAAGCAAACAAGAGATGAGGGTGGCCTGTAATTTTTTGTCTGGCTATTAAAATAACTTCCAAACTGCCTCAAATCTTGATCTACTCAAACCGTTTTTCCCGTATGATGCCACAGTGATTTATTTCTAAAATTCATATCTAAAGATGTCACTTCTCAGAGATTCCCCATTTTATATCTTTAGGTAAAATTCAAATTCCTTACCAAAGGAAAACAGATGATATCCATGCTGTGGAGCCTTCCTCCCTTTATATCCTCCTCTCTTATTCTACCTCTTTCCTTTAGCCAGTGTTCTCTACTTGGAGCCTAGACGCTCTCTATAAGGTTATAAAACCCCCTTAGGCCTCCATGCCTTGGGCCATGTTTTCCTTCTACTTGGACTGTCCTTCTCATCAACTCCCCTATCTTGTCTGACTTACTCCAACTCATCTTTAAAGATTCAGATTAAAGATTAGGAAGGAGCTTATCTTTCTCTTGCAAGAGTTTCTGAACCTTTTCCTTCCCCATTCCAAGACAAAAATGAGTCTTTTCTGTGGATTCAGTACAAATCAATAAACATTTATAACATCTGCTCTCTACCAAAACAGTTTTTAGGAGTTGGAGAATCAGAGAGGACTAAACTGCAGTATTTGCCCTCAAGATCCTTGTTCTAGAAGAGAAGACACATGATACATGATTGCATTATAGTGTGATAAGTGTAGTAGTAAAAAGCATGATCTTGGGAGGAGGGTATGAATGAAGGGCTCCTAGAAGAGGAGAAATCCATGTCGGTTTTTAAGAATAAATCAGAGTTTATGAGGCAGACAAGGTGCATGGGGTAGGGCATATATACAAGATTGAAGGAACAATGTGTGCAATGGTATAGAATGGCAAACATCAAGGTTGAGGGAATTACAGAAAAACGCGTATCTGAGTGTAAAGTTGAAAAGGTGATTAATGGAGGTGAGCTTAGAAAGAAAGGCAATTATTGAAGATCTTATTTTCAATGCATACCTTTATTGTAGTACTTATCATACTGTGTTGTAGCCACTGGTTTTCATCTCTTTGTCATACCAAATGGCTCCTTCAGGGCAGGCATTCATTAATCTTTACATACATAGCACCTATCCAAGTGTCTAAGCTGTAGTGGATACATGGTAAATGCTTATGTTATTAATGTGAACCCTTTAAAACTTTTAAAAGATTATTTTACATAAGACTATTATTTGGTATTTGGTACAAATATCTTTCTATCTGTCTACCTATCTATCTTATCGCCTGGGTCGAATCTAGGCATTATCAGTTCCAAAGTCTAAGTATAAAAATAAAATTGAAATAAAATGCAATTAATTAGAGATTCTTTTTTTTAGATAACTATTTATTTTGATATAGTGATGTAAATAGAACAGAATGAAGAAAAAATTACGATAGAGATCAGATAATCTTTAAAATGGAGGAAGGAGTGTGTCGCTTTTGGGAGAAATCACCAATAGTCTTTCTTTTTTTAATTTTTATTTTTAACAGCTTTATTGAGGTTTAATTTACATGCCATAAAATTCATTAATTTTAAGTATGAAACAATAACAAAAACTTCAGTTAAATGTGATGTGCAGGGCATGACATATCCAGTATGTAACATTTTAAAAATTAAATGTTATTAAATTGCTTCTCAGATTTAAATAGCTGTTATTGAGAGACAAGACAAATGAGTAGAATAGAATAGACATTTATGCAGCTTTGTCTAGGAAGCTAGAAGTTCCATGTACATCTTTCCATTCACTTTTGTTTCCTTCTTGTATCTTTTCCACAGCATTGGACACCAGATGGAGACATTTAAGAACTCTGGAACTCAGTTGGGTAGGGGAGGTAGTCTGTTGGGTCTCTAGACTGATAGTCAGTTTTCAGCCCTGGTGAATTCTTGCCTCTTTTTCCCTAAAAGGCATTTCAAACCACTTTGGATAGTAACACAAATGTGTTAGAAATGTCATGAACATAAGGAAAGGAGACGTATAACCTGGAGTCAATCGTAATAATACATAGTAGTAATCTGAGAAAAAATAGAATACCCAAATCACGTACACTTATACAAGATCCAGTGACTAGTTGACTAATGACCAACAAAGAAATAGGAAAAGAAAATGAAAAGCAAAGGCTTTGAATAAACACGTTGCTTTGTCTTAAGTAGTTTCACACACCTTTTCAAGAAAAATATTACTTGAGCTTATTTGCCTTCTCTTAACTTTCTAAAAATGGCTTTGCTGAGGAATCTACTAACCATTATGGTTTCTTCCAATATCCTCTCCTTTCTCTCCCTTCTCCCTTAGTATCTTTTTGCCACATACATTGCTCCTTCAGCCACTCTTGACATTGGACTCCAACAGGAAAAGAAAAAAGAAATTTATATGAAAATACAGCCGCCATTTGAAGACCTTTTCGATGCAGCAGAAGAATATATCCTTCTCCTCCTTCTTGAGCCTTGGACAAAGATGGTAAAATCAGACCAAGTTGCTTACAGAAAGGTATTGTGGCACTGATGAATTCTGTGTGAACAATTCAGGTTTACCCCAAAACTGATGATGGGCAACATTGTTAACTCGCAAGAGAGAAAAGCTGGAAAAGATTTCATGTGGGCCAGGGACTCAGAGTTAAGATTTGGGCAGACACAAAATTGGGGCAGGGAAAGTATTTATTAACTTAGTTTTTGCCAGTTTCCCTGTTGTGTCCTAACAAAAGGCTAAAATTGATGTCATTTTTAAGTCTGTCTACAAATATGTCAGCAGAGAAAAATTTGAGTTTTGGTTTCCTGTGAACCAATAAAATATGCCATGTTAATACACTGGCTTTGTCACTTCTTGCCATTTCTCAGCAGTGGCTTTAATTTTGATTAATGGAAGGAGGCTGTTTATTTTTATTCTGGATGAATTACAGTAAATATTACATCCATGGAAAATATAAACGTTTCATATATACTGTGGAAAGCACATTCTCTGACTTAAAGCACCCTCAGATGTTCATCAGGTCAGACTGCTTGATTTGATAAAAGTGTCAACACATCTTTTTTCATTCCAAAAGAGGTCATTTTAAGTCTCAGGGCTTGACTATTTTCACTATGCTTATTGATGGGTGGAGGAAATTTCTTTAAATGTTTATTTTGAATCACAAATTAAAACCATTTGTGGGTATTTTTAATATTAAGTTAATGCATGTACCCTGTACATGAGGTCATTTCAGGTGGATCCCTGCTGTCTCTGTATTGCACTTCTTCATTCAGATCTCCTGAACAACGTCTTGGTCATGTCTTCTCGCAGAAAGGATGGGTGAGGTAATTAAGATGAAATTAATACCAAGCACCTCGGATAGAGCCACCTTATTGGATAGTGACCAACATAACCCCACGGCTTACTAAATTCATTGACCAAACTAATGAATTTTTCAGTCCTGATTTCTTTTTGTCCTGAAAAATTAACACTTGTATCCTTTCTACTACAAAAATACATATTTTACACTAGGAAAATTGAGATATTATATGAAATTAAAAAAAAAATATCTCCAGGGACTTCCCTCGTGGTCCAGTGGTTAAGACACCGTGCTCCCAATGCAGGGGGCCCAGGTTCGATCCTGTCAGGGAACTAGATACCGCATGCCACAATGAAGATCCCACACACCGCAATGAAGATCCCACACGTGACAGCAGAGATCCTGTGTGCCGCAACTAAGACCTGACGAAGCCAGATAAATAAATATTTTTTTAAGAAAAGAAAAATTCTCTCCAGTCATGATTTTATTATTTTTTAAACTAATTAAGTTTTTTTTGGCCACGCCTCCCAGCTTGCGGGATCTTAGTTACCCAACCAGGGATCGAACCCATGCCCTCCGCAGTGAAATCACAGAGTCCTAAGCACTGGACAGCCAGGGAAGTCCCCAGTCATGATTTTAAATACAGTATATGGTATAGAGGAAAATGGATATAAGATATGGTCCTAGGATGACAAAACAGATTCAGAATTATAACTGACTTCCCTAAACCAAGAAGTTTTAGCATTAGCAGTGATTCTTACGAAATGCCTGGGACAAATTATACACTCTTTTTAATAAGAGGAAAAATAAATTTCTCTTAATTCTATAAACTTCTTAAGTTCAGCCCAGAGGACTTCTCTAAAAGTCCAGCTGACTGGATTATGTAGACTCTTTCCCAAAAAGGATAAACAAGAAGATTTAACCAAAATTAATTGTTAAATACAGGAGTTCTCAGTCGGCTAAACTGATCTTTCTCAATAGAGAAATGGAAAATGATCTTGTTCTCCTGACTGTATGAAGCAGTGCAATACACACTCTGAAGGCTAAGTCCTACTGTGAGGTTTAATTTGATGATTGACTCTCCCCTCTCTTGCTATAGCAATAAAACCTTTGCTCACAGACTGATAACGGTAGCGTCCAATCATTTTTTTGTTCTACTGTGGATTATTTGGTCCCTAAAGCTAAGAATGCCTATCTTCATGACTATTATCCAGTTATAAAGAATAGAAGATGGAAAAGTGATCCACCCAACATGTTTGCACTGTCTGCTAGTTCACATGGGGTGTCCAGAAAGGAGGAATGATCTTTGGTGGCATTATATCATTACATAGAAATGTATACCTTTTTTAACATTTGAAGCCTGACTTTGCTGTAGCTAATGTTTTGTTTTGTTGTTGTTTTTTTTAACATATTGATTGGAGTATAATTGCTATGCAGTGGTGTGTTAGTTTCTGCTTTATAACAAAGTGAATCAGTTATACATATATATATGTTCCCATATCTCTTCCCTCTTGCATCTCCCTGCCTCCCACCCTCCCTATCTCACCCCTCTAGATGGTCACAAACCACCGAGATGATCTCCCTGTGCTATGCGGCTGCTTCCCACTAGCTATCTATTTTACGTTTGGTAGTGTATATATGTCCATGCCACTCTCTCACTTTGTCACAGCTTACCCTTCCCTATCCCCATATCCTCAAGTCTATTCACTAGTACGTCTGTGTCTTTATTCCCGTCTTACCCCTAGGTTCTTCATGACCTATTTTTTTTTCTTAGATTCCATATATATGTGTTAGCATAAGGTATTTGTTTTTCTCTTTCTGACTTACTTCACTCTGAATGACAGACTCTGGGTCCATCCACCTCACTACAGATATCTCAATTTTGTTTCTTTTTATGGCTGAGTAATATTCCATTGTATATATGTGCCACATCTTCTTTATCCATTCATTCGATGATGGACACTTAGGTTGCTTCCATGACCTGGCTATTGTAAATAGTGCTGCAATGAACATTTTGGTACATGACTCTTTTTGAATTATGGTTTTCTCAGGGTATATGCCCAGTAGTGGGATTGCTGGGTCGTATGGTAGTTCTATTTTTAGATTTTTAAGGAACCTTCATGCTGTTCTCCATAGTGGCTGTATCAATTTACATTCCCACCAACAGTGCAAGAGTGTTCCCTTTTCTCCACACCCTCTCCAGCATTTATTGTTTCTAGATTTTTTTTTCTTTGCGGTACGCGGGCCTCTCACTGTTGTGGCCTCTCCTGTTGCAGAGCACAGGCTCCAGACGCACAGGCTCAGCGGCCATGGATCACGGGCCTAGCCGTTCCACGGCATGTGGGATCTTCCCGGACCGGGACACGAACCCGTGTCCCCTGCATCAGCAGGCAGACTCTCAACCACTGTGCCACCAGGGAAGCCCTGTTTCTAGATTTTTTGATGCAGTGGTAAATGGGAGTGTTTTCTTGATTTCACTTTCAGATTTTTCATCATTAGTGTATAGAAATGCCAGAGATTTCTGTGCATTAATTTTATATCCTGCAACTTTACCAAATTCATTGATTAACTCTAGTAGTTTTTTGGTAGCATCTGTAGGATTCTTTATGTATAGTATCATGTCATCTGCAAACAGTGACAGCTTTACTTCTTCTTTTCCAATTTGGATTCCTTTTATTTCCTTTTCTTCTCTGATTGCTGTGGCTAAAACTTCCCAAACTATGTTGAATAAGAGTGGTGAGAGTGGGCAACCTTGTCTTGTTCCTGATCTTAGTGGAAATGCTTTCAGTTTTTCACCATTGAGGATGATGTTGGCTGTGGGTTTGTCATATATGGCCTTTATCATATTGAGGAAAGTTCCCTCTACACCTACTTTCTGGAGACTTTTTATCATAAATGGGTGTTGAATTTTGTCAAAAGCTTTTTCTGCATCTATTGAGATTGTCCTATGGGTTTTATCCTTTAGTTTGTTAATATCCTATGGGTTAATATCCTATGGGTTTTATCCTTTAGTTTGTTAATATGGTGTATCACAGTGATTGATTGTGTATATTGAAGAATCCTTGAATTCCTGGACTAAACCCCACTTGATCATGTGTATGATCCTTTTAATGTGCTGTTGGATTCTGTTTGCTAGTATTTTGTTGAGGATTTTTCCATCTATGTTCATCAGTGAACATCATTTTTCCATCTATGTTCATCAGTTAACAAGTTGGCCTGTAGTTTTCTTTCTTTGTGACATCTTTGTCTGGTTTTGGTATCAGGGTGATGGTGGCCTCGTAGAATGAGTTTGGGAGTATTCCTCGCTCTGCTATATTTTTGAAGAGTTTGAGTAGGATAGGTGTTAGCTCTTCCTTAAGTGTTTGATAGAATTCGCCTGTGAAGCCATCAGGTCCTGGGCTTTTGTTTGTTGGGATATTTTTAATCACAGTTTCAATTTCAGTGCTTGTGATTGGTCTGTTCATATTTAATATTTCTTCCTGGTTCAGTCTCGGAAGGTTGTGCATTTCTAAGAATTTTTCCATTTCTTCCAGGTTGTCCATTTTATTGGCATATAGTTGCTTGTAGTAATCTCTCATGATCCTTTGTATTTCTGCAGTGTCAGTTGTTACTTCTCCTTTTCATTTCTAATTGTATTGATGTGAGTCTTCTCCCTTTTTTTCTTGATGAGTCTGGCTAATGGTTTATCAATTTTGTTTATCTTCTCAAAGAACCAGCTTTTAATTTTATTGATCTTTGCTATTGTTTCCTTCATTTCTTTTTCATTTATTTCTGATCTAATCTTTATGATCTCTTTCCTTCTGCTCAGTACCAGCAAACCAGCTTTACAACAAATGCTAAAGAAAACTTCTCTAGGCAAGAAACACAAGAGAAGGAAAAGACCTACAATAACAAACCCAAAACAATTAAGGAAATAGGAATAGGAACATACATATCGATAATTACCTTAAATGTAAATGGATTGGGCTTCCCTGGTAGTGCAGTGGTTGAGAGTCTGCCTGCTGATGTGGGGGACACGGGTTCATGCCCCTGTCCAGGAAGATCCCACATGCTGCAGAGCAGCTAGGCCCGTGAGCCATGGCTGCTAAGCCTGCGCGTCCGGAGCCTGTGCTCTGCAACGGGAAAGGCCACAACAGTGAGAGGCCTGCGTACTGCAAAAAAAAAAAAAAAAAATGTAAATGGATAAAATGTTCCCACCAAAAGACACAGACTGGCTGAATGGATACAAAAACAAGACCCATATTTATGCTGTCTACAAGAGACCCACTTCAGACCTAGGGACACATACACACTGAAAGTGAGGGGATGGAAAACGATATTCCATGCCAATGGAAATCAAAAGAAAGCTAGAGTAGCAATTCTCATATCAGATAAAATAGACTTTAAAATAAAGACTATTACAAGAGACAGAGAAGGATAGTACATAATGATGAAGGGATCGATCCAAGAAGAAGGTATAACAATTGTAAATATTTATGCACCCAACATAGAAGCGCCTCAATACATAAGGCAAATACTAACAACCACAAAAGGGGAAATTGACAGTAACACAATCATAGTAGGGGACTTCAACACCCCACTTCACCAATGGACAGATCATCCAAAATGAAAATAAATAAGGAAACACAAGCTTTAAATGATACATTAAACAAGATGGACTTAATTGATATTTATAGGACATTCCATCCAAAAATAACGGAATACACATTTTTCTCAAGTGCTCATGGAACATTCTCCAGGATAGATCATATCTTGGGTCACAAATCAAGCCTTGGTAAATTTAAGAAAATTGAAATTTTATCAAGTATCTTTTCTGACCACAATGCTATGAGACTAGATATCAATTACAGGAAAAGATCTGTAAAAAATACAAACACTTGGAGGCTAAACAATACACTACTTAACAACCAAGAGATTACTGAAGAAATCAAAGAGGAAATCAAAAAATACCTAGAAACAAATGACAATGAAAACAAGACGACCCAAAACCTACGGGATGCAGCAAAAGCAGTTCTAAGAGGGAAGTTTATAGCAATGCAGTCCTACCTTAAGAAACAGGAAACATCCCAATAAAACAACCTAACCTTGCACCTATAGCAATTGTAGCTAATGTTTTTGTTTGTTTGTTTGTTTTTTGCGGTACGCAGGCCTCTCACTGTTGTGGCCTCTCCCGTTGCGGAGCACAGGCTCTGGACGCACAGGCTTAGTGGCCATGGCTCACAGGTCTAGCCACTCTGCAGCATGTGGGATTTTCCCAGACCAGTCCACGATCCCGTGTCTCCTGCATCGGCAGGCAGACTCTAAACCACTGCGCCGCCTGGGAAGCCCTGTAGCTAATGTTTTTCACTATGTGGGTCTTCTTGCTTCTGCCTCCAAACTAAATTACTTTATTGGCAAGTGTATTTGGTTTTTAGCCCACTGTTATTGGCAAATTGTGCACGCTTTCCCCACTTTTTCATAATGCACATTCTTTTGATGTTACAAACTTTATTTTTGTGTTATTATAGGTGGAGCTGGTGGAGGAAACTCGACAGCTAAATTCCACGTACTTCAGAAAGCTACAGGCTTTGCATAAAGAGACAGTTTCCAAGAAAGCTGAGGTAAGAAACTCTCTACTTAGAAAAACAAAGATTTTAACCTAGAAAGGATTATCACTGCATATATTGGGGGGGAGCCGGGGGGAGTAGGAATCGTATATTGAGGAAATCATGTATTGATAAAGTAGGGGTCAGGCAGTTTCATTTTCTGCTGCTTCTTTGCCCAACATGCTGCATTTGACAGGTATCACATTTTTTTGACACATTTAACAACAAAGCCAGAAAAATAAAGCAGTTGAAGTAGCATAGGGAGCCAAGATACAGGTTTGCCTTAGCTAAGAGCCTTCAAGCCACATTATATTCCTTTGAATGTTACTGGTTATTTTCTGTATGGCAGCAGCGCTATTTGTTCAAGTCACAAAAGAATTAAATTGAGTTTTCCAAACAGAAAAAGAAGTGTTGTGTGATAGCAGTAAGCAAAATAATAAAGAAAAAATATGGAAAGGCTTTAACAGAGTCAATAAAAATATCATAGGATTGACTACGATATTAAAGTGTTATTTGCAAATTTGTGATTGGCTAAGTAAACCATGATAGATCCATAAGGCCATAAGATTAAATGTGTGTATCTACTTAGAAATGACAGTTTAGATTCATATTTATTGACATGGAAGATGCCCCCGACATATTATTTTATAAAAATGTGGGGAACAAAAACACTGGTATCGGTTAATCCTATTCACCTAAAATTATACATGCATTCCTAGGTGTATACATGTATGCAAAGAGGGCTGTCTGGAAAAATGTTCATCAAAATATTAAAAATAGTTAGCTCTGAGTGGTAAGGTTTCAGGTGATTTTTTAATTTTCTACTTTGTAGCTATCTGAAATCGTTATTCTTTTGCAATAAAGTTTTTCACAAACAGTAAAGCTGTTTTTTAAATGTAACCTTCATGTTATTGCCTTATAAACACAGAAATTCTTTATTTGAAATTCTATTAATTAATATCTGGAAAGGATACATAAAAATTCATAAAGTATCTTTAAATTTTTTTAAATTTATAATACTATTCATAATACTTATACCTATCAAAAATTGATTTTTTAAATATAGGTAGTTTATCTCATGGTCTGATGCTTTTCAAAAACAAATAGGGAGGTGAATTAATTATATAGGGAGTTACATAGGAAGGATTTCTGAAGAATAAGCCTCTCTAGCTCTTTGCCCTGAAGGACTTGTAAACTGTTCGCAAAACATCAGAGGTATTAAAAATACCTAACAATTAACTGTTATATGAAGGAGATTACATCTAAAGTATCTTTTACTACTCTATAACATAAAAAACTTTTATAGACAAACTAATGTTTTATGTTCATGATATATCGTTAAGAAAAAGAACCAAAAACCATACATGGTTGTATAGTCCTGTTTCCGTTTGTAATAAACTACATGTGTGTACAAAAAAGACTAAAAGGATACACATAAAAATGTTTGTGGTGGTTATCTCTGAATGGTAGTACAATGTCTGCTTTTTGTTTTCTTTTTATTACAAAAGACATATTACTTCTGTACCAACAAAAATAATAAAATTAATATTTTATAAGCAAATGTATAGTAAATACTTACTAATGTTCCTGAAAAGAAGGGAATGGAATGGAAAGGAACAGAACAGAATTTGATGTGAGTTAGAACCAGATTCTGGATTCTTTACCCAGTTCTACCATTGGACTGATAAATGCCATTGGCCTAATAGTTAATTTTTATTTCAGTTTCTCTTTAAATTTGGAAAATAATTTGTTGTATTTAAGAGATTTTTATGAAAAGTGTTATTTCACTAGGACACTACTTGTGAAATTGGATCTGGTATTTCACCACTTCCTCATGTCTCTAAACAAACAGAATACTGGAATAATGTTCCTGCAGAATATAGGCATTTTAATTTTAATGATCTGCTTAACAACAAACTGGAGTTTGAACATTTTCATCAGTTTCTTGAGGCTCATTCTTCAAGGTAAGGAACATAACCATTTTAAAATTTATTTCTCTCTTAAAATATTCTTCTAAACTGTTAGATACTTGTTTTGATTCAACATATGATAAAAATGGTTTGGTGCTAGATTTTACCCATTTCAGTAAAGATTAATGAAACCTGTACGATAACCTTTTGTTGGGAATTGGATTTTGATAACAGCCTCCAAAATGTTATTTTAAGTGGTCAAACGATATTTGTTGATACTTTTACCATTGGCTAAATTAAAACACCAGTATGTTTTATTTTTGCCTATTCTCATGTTTCTTTCTTTTGCATTTTTCTAAACAGGTGCTCTAATGACTCTTTCTGAGAAGTTTCTCTTTTATATTTTACTAAGCTATTGAAATTACTATTTTGTGATTTTCATTAGTTAATACATAAATGAAACATTATAGTTCTGCATAGAATCTTGGTACCTTATGACATATTTATCTAATATAAACTGAAGTGTTAATCATATTTTTTCCAATAATTTTCTCCCAAGTTAACAAAAACAGGTTAGACCTGGGAGCCAAATTTCACCTATATAGTTCCCCTTTGTGATGATAATCATTCTAAATTTAGCAGGTTGCCAAATAGACATGCAATAGGTGGAAATTTTTCCATATTTGAAATTTATAATACTAGTTCATCATTAATGGAAGAACTCTGAGACCCACCCTACCAGTATGATGGTAGATTCTTCTCTGATCCCAGCACTCCTTGTATTCATTCATATATTTAGCCAGGATAAGACAATATTAATAGTAATATTAATAATATCATACTCATTAGTTCCATGGTCTAATCTGTTGTGCTAACTGCTCAATACAGCACTTTCTAAATTCTGTCAAAACAACAACTTGTTTGGTGTTTAATAGAATTGAAAGAAATAAATAAGAAGGGCTGTACTTTTTCATTTTAGCATGGACCTTATGTGCTGGACAGACATTGAACAGTTCCGAAGAATAACTTACAGAGATCGAAAGCGAAGGGAGGCAGAATCTATGTACATTAAAAACAAGTACCTTAATAAAAAATATTTCTTTGGACCCAACAGTCCAGCTTCTCTGTATCAACAGGACCAGGTATCAACATGGAGACATATTTTCTACATTTAAGTATGAAAACTAGTAATTTATTTCTTTTTGCCAACAATCTCAACGTCTTCTTTTTTCTTTTGCTTTTATGACTTATATGTTCGACACTTTTGATATCTTTTTTTTTAGGTATTCATAATTATCTACAAATGTCTTTTTTTAAATAAAGGCTGCTTTCCTTTATTTACTTATTTAAAAAATTTATTTATTCATTTATTTATTTGGCTGCACCAGGTCTCAGTTGCAGCATGCGGAGTCTTTACTTGCGGCATGTGGGATCTTTAGTTGAGCCATGCGAACTCTTAGTTGCAGTATGTGGGCTGTAGTTCCCTGACCAGGAGTCGAACCCTGGCCCCCTGCATTGGGAGCGTGGAGTCTTAACCACTGGACCACCAGGGAAGTCCCTCTACAGATGCCTTAAAATTCACTCAAGTATTATATATGATTAAAACTGTGTTATTTTTAAAGTAATCTGTGGAATAAAAATAACTTTCATTCATCCACTCACCCATTCATTCAGCAAGTATGGGTGCCTGTGATATGCCTGACGCTGTTCTAGGTGCTCAGGATAAGTGGTAAACAAGGAGGACAAAGTCCTTGCACCTTTCAAAAGCAGAAAAGCAGCCATTATCAGCCATTAAACCCCATCTCTACCTCTTTTCTGTTCTTGTCTTACCTGAAATTACTCCAGACATAACTGATTTTTGAAAAATCCTGTTTGCCATTGTACTGTCTCCCAAAACAATTTTTATTGACCAGGAACATAGATTTTCCATTTTGTTGAGCCAAGATCATATGGCTTTAATCACAACTTATTAATAACTAGACGGTGTCATTATTTACAGCAAAAATGTCAGATTGGGATTCAGCAGTGGTTTTGAGTGTTCATGTAATTGATCACATGAGATATGGCTCAATTTTAATGCCTTTGAAATATAAAATTGTTGTAATTTATTTAACCTGAAATTTGCTAATATTAGAAGTTTGCTAGATCAAATGTGTAGCATTTGAGTTCTTTATTTTCGTAGTTTAAAAGGATGTGTACCCTGATGGCATACGTTTGTAAAATACAAATCTCAGATTAATTCAGTAAATTAAAGAAAAATTCAGAGCTATTCATAAGTAGGGCATACCAAATTAAAAATCTAGATCTTTGGGGGGAAAATAAACAAAAGTCCTTGGGAGTAAGAGGGAGAAGAAATTCTAGAATTAAGCAACTTTAACAAAAATGTCTTGCCATTAGTTCCCTGAGATACAAATCTGGGATGTATTAGCAAAAGTGGCTGGGAGTATCTCAATAAGCATAAGTATGAAATAAACACATGGAAAGCATTTGTTTTCTATTTGGCTTGTGCTACATTGTGTGAGGTTTCATGGTATCTGATGCTACTGTGTGAACCTTCCATAGTAAAACTTGCTGAGAATTAAAAATTCAGTGGAAAAAGTCATCCATTGCTGTCATAGCAAATGACTGTGCTTACTATAGAGGAGTTTTCCAAATGACCCTTCTTCCTCATCTTTGTCTTCACTTTTATTTTTATTTACCTATTTTATACTTAAGGATTTCTGCATCGCCTTATGTTTTATACAGACCATGCTAGTTCTAATCCTAGTTGTGTGGCCAATTTGCAGTTTGATTAGCAAAGTAGTCTTTTCTCTTATTCTCTTTTTTTCTTATTTTTATACAGAAACCGTATTATTGTTAATATTATTTGATTAATATTATTAAAGGATGGCTGAGAGAGTTTCTCTTTTTATATAAAACAATATTATTATTAGGATTAAGTTAATCTTATTAGTCAAAGGAGAGCTAAGACTCCAATGAGGAGTCCAATTTTTTTCTGTGTACAAAAAACTCACCAATTTTGAGTGGTATATATGCAGAAACAGGATGATTTATAGTAGGAATTGGCCATTAGTATTGTTTTTTAATTAATTAATTTTTATGGCCATTAGTATCGTGGAAGCCAGTAATTATATAGAAGGAAGATTTTGGCCACAGAGAAATTGTCTTATAAAAGGGCTACCTGTGCAAGTCAGAGACTATTGTCTGTATAACCTGGCCTTTTTCTACTTCCTGCTATCTCTGTTTTCTTCTTTGAAGTTGTTGGAACAGCCCTACATTGCTACCACCACCATCATTCCACCATGTCCAACCCAATGTTTATTGGTAATATGCATATTTATAATGTCTGAGTCAAGGTTGTCTCTTAACTAATTAATGCCTTATTTTTCTCAGACACAAAAGAAAATGCCTTCTCAAACAAGTCCATTTGAGTAGAATCAGAGATTCATAGAATATTAGACCTAGAAGAGCCCTTAGAAAACTAAAAGTCTAATGCCCTTATTTTACAGTTGAAGAAACTGAAGCCATGGAGAAAAAAATGGCACTGCAGTTGTCACACAGGATAGAAATCCCTGTGTTCTTTGAAATATGTTATCATAAGCAAAATCATACATCTAAAACAACCATCACATAAACCACAATTCTCTGTTTGATGTTAGGGAAGTTATCTGTCTTTACTCTACACAGCAAAGCCAGGAGCTATTTTACAGAAAATGAAAATTCTGGCACCTATCAGGTGCTCAGCAAATAGTCTTGGGGTGAATGAATAAATTAATGACTACTAGCATTTCTTTACCTAAACAGAAGTTTGTTGTTTCTGTTTCATTTTTATTTCCTTAGATAATGCATTTAAGTGGTGGCTGGGGAAAGATTCTCCATGAGCAGCTTGATGCAGCTGTTCTAATTGAAATTCAGAAGCATGTCCTAAATAGGCTAGAAAATGTGTGGTTGCCATTGTTTCTTGCAAGTGAACAGTTTGCAGCACGTCAAAAGATAAAGGTATGTAAATTAGTATAATCTCGGGATAGCAACTGACAGCACCTCTCAAAGCCTCAAATGTGAAAGCCTGACTCAGCCACTGTACTTCCATGGCATAGTGGTTAAGAGCAGGAAGTCAGACTTCCCAAGTTTTAATCTCAACACTGCCACATATTAATTGTACAACAATAAGTTTTACAACCTTAGTTTTCTCATTTGGAAAAGAAATGGAGATAATAAGAGTAATAGCTTCATAAGATTGTTATGAAGAGGAAACGAAATGATATATGTGTAGTTTCTTAGCGTGGTGCCTGGTACACAGCAAACACTCACATACTGTCTATTAATATAGTTATTATTTTTTACATTATTATTATTGAGTCTTCATATAAATGGGCAAGGATGTACAAAGGGGAATAGTTAAATGAATTATAAGAATTCCATACTATGGATACCTATGCAGTTTTCCATATAAAATGAGATTATAAAAATGAGATTTCCACATATACTGGTAATGAAAGATGTTATTTATTGAGTGAAACAAGCAGGATGCAGAACAATACATAGAAGATAATCCCGTTATATGTACTTATATCTGTATATCTGTCTATTCATGCATTTCTCTTTCTCCTTCCCTCTGTCTATATTTATGTTTATGAACAAAGATGAAAGAAAAGATCTGCCTCCTGGGAATGGGTATGGGTAGTGTGAAGGATTTTTACTTTGTAAAGTAGGGTTTTTGTTGTTTTGCTTTGTTTAGTTTTTATTTTATAAGAAGCATGTATTGCTTCAATAATTTTAAATGTCATTATCACACCTAAAAACAGGCAAACCTGATCTTTACAAAAAGAACACAAGGAGTAGAGAGCATGTAATTTTGGACTTCAGTATGCAAAGCACATGCCATTAGTATTGATCAGGAAGAATGTAAAAAAGCTGCCCTCCATATTTATTTTATCAAACACTTTGAGTCTTACTTATCTGGAAATATCCTTAGTCTTCTTAACACCTTAAGTTATGGAAAACACAGTACAGCTGGGAACATAGAACTTATAGTATGGGGAAGAAGACCTGACTTGTTTTAGGCAAAAAGTTCCTGGAAGTAAGCTTTGGGACAACTCAGATTTCCTCGTTTCCTTTCTTCAGGCTAACTCTAATTGTCTATCCAAAGCCAAGTAGAAAGATATTTGGCTCATTAATATTGTTTACCGTGTTTTCTCACTACGTTTACCACAATAACTTTATTGTAATTTACAGCTCCTTCCTAACTTAGCAATTCTGTGTGTGGCCAGCAACATTCACTGATTCTGGCAACCTTAAAGCCAAAGACAGAAGAGAAGGAAGATCAAGAATTTTTAATAAAATGATGCTGGAGCATCTCACACATTTAGGGGAAGAGTTGGCACCCAAGCTTTGCAAAGGCCAGGGGCCAGGACAGCCCTGGGAACCCAGCAAGAAGAATTCTCAGATCTTTTCTCCAGGCTGTGGCTACCAAAAGACTCAGCAGCAGTGATTCTAGTCCCTGTCTGTCTGGGTCAGCTCCTGGATCTACCTGCTATAGACAGGGAGGTAGAGTCACATAGCACAGATTTGGCAGGAGTGGTTCCCAAAAAAGGGAAAATATTGTGAATAGTCAATAACCTCGAGAAATATCTACTGTATTACCTCCCTGTGTTGAGTAACTTTTGTGCTCATCTAAAATTAGTCGTGGCTAGAAAATACACAAAAATTTGGGAAGTCCTAATCATCCTTCCCGCTTCAGTTTCTATGGGGCCCAAGTGAAACTGTTGTCTACCTTTGGGGCAATACACTCAGGTATTATTATCTCCATTTTGCAGATGAGGAGACTGTTAAGAGAATTTGAGTGACTTGCCCGGGGACATGGACAGGGCTTCCATTTCTAAGTCTTATTCTCTTTCTCCTGTTCTTTCTCTTATTCACACTGACCTTTACCTCATTTTTTAAAGCTGTTAAATCAGTAAATGATTTCAATACTGTAGACATTCTGAATAACTCGGATAAAATCATTGGTTTGCTTCCAGGTACAGGTGAGAGACATAGCTGAAGAACTTTTACTACAGAAGCATGAAAGGAAGATTGGAGTCTGGAAGGCAAGTAATATTTGTTTGTTATGTTCTTCCTCTTGTAAGTTCCACTGTCAAAGTATTGTTTTTCTTCCTCTTCTTGTACAGAGACCCTCATTGTAGATAATGCTTTTTTCTAAGCCACCAGATGCTGACACTGTTCTTAACTCGCTAATGGAATCTGCAGGGAAGTGTGATTCTACTAGAGCCCTCTTCTTAAAGAGTCCCTTAGCCTGCTCAACCCTAGAAGTGTGGGATTGGACTTTAAATGTGTATTTTTAGTTGTTTTGCTTGTGATGGATTTATTGAGACAGGCTGATCATTCCAGCATATGGTAGTTTATTTATTATTGGGAGTGGTTTACACAAAAAGAATGGGGAGTATGCAGCAGAATCAGCAACTTAAATTATCTTACATTATCCTCTTTATTTAGAATTACGTTTTAACTTTAAAAGAATTAAGATAGCTATCATTTTGGCACTTATTTAAACCACTACAATATGATACCTTCCTAGAAATTGCCTGTTTTGCTTCTTAACAAGCATGATAAACACAGTCTTTTTGAGCCTACAAATGTATGTGTATTCGTCCTTCTATAGGTCTTGATAAAATGTCAAACTAGACCCAGGTGACCCCCTACAACCTAACAAAGATAAAAATCTATTCGACTGTTAGAGGAGTGTATGTATCTGTTAGGATGCTTTTTTCCTGTATTTTCCTCTTGAAAGGAAACAAACTGTTCTTATATTTGTCCTTTGCTATGTATTTTTTTAAAAATACTAAATAGAATGGGCTTATATGTCATATTATCGTACATTATATATTATGGTATTTTCTGTTTAGTTAAATTACGGGTTTTAGTTAAATTACTAAGTTTTAGTATCTTAAGAAGCAGGTCTTAAAACATTATTTGTTGAGTGGGTTTTAAATAAACATCCCAGTCTAATACATAGTTGTTCCTATTTATAGGGCTATAATTTTAATATGGACCATCTGGTGATGGTCTTAACTTTTTGTCCTTGGAACACCACATGTGCCTCACTAAAATAGTGATAGACATCTATTCACTTTATCTGGGGTAAAAGCACCACCGTTCATCTAGAGTGCCTGGAGTTGCCTTCGCTTTTCAGTTTCCAGCTCAGATGTCATCCTCAAAGCCCTTCTCTGTAAAGCTCTTACTCCTCCAGGCAGAATTAGTTACTCCTTCCTTTGCATTCCCATAGACTTTTTACATAACTCTCTTAAAACGCTTATATTGTTGGTCACACATGATTTGTTTCAAGGAACTTATTTTATGCATTGTCAGTAATGGGTATTTATCGTGTGCAATGGATATTTGTCATTGATTGTTACTATAATTCCTAAGTTCATCTAAAATATTACCTTTAGAGTGATGCTTCCTTTCATGGTTGTAGGCTAAACTCAGATTTGGGGCACTTCAATAAATTTATCAAATGAAAAAAAACCTATTCAGTAAATTCAATAAAATCTATTATTTTTCTTAATCTGAGAGGCTAAAAGAGGATGAATATGTGATCTAAAATGGTCAAGGTAAAAAAAGTAGACATCGTATACTTCAGAATTGTGAAGATAAAATAAGTAATACCTTTAAGCATTAGTAAAACAACATGGCTTTTTTGTTGTGTAAAGTGAATCCTGGGTCAGAGAAAGTTTATTTTTAAAAATATGCACTGATAATTATTTCCTCCGGTTATTAATTATTAATAGTAATTTATTATTAAAATAATATAAAGATGTCTTGCCTAAAAACATGATCTTTTGGGAATTCCGTGACAGTCCAGTGGTTAGGACTCAGCACTTTCACTGCTGTGGCCCAGGTTCAATCCCTGGTCAGGAAACTAAAGTCCCACAAGCGGCACAGCGTGGCCAAAAAAAACCATGATCTTTCTAGGATAGAATTATAGTGAAGCTCCACAGTAAATTTCCTATTTAAATTAATAAGATTAATTGGTAATTTTTTCTAAAATTTTTGAAAAATATCTTAAATGTTCAACTGTTTTTACTTTTTAAAAGACAGGAAAATTGCATATTAATGTATAACATATATATAATTATAAAATAATAATTATAACATTATGATTACTTTGTTCTGTTTAAGCACAGAACTCATACTGTACGCCAAAGTGTAGTTTTTCACCATAGTCCCAAACTGTAATGATTGTTAACATTCTTAATGTACTCATATGTTCTAAGTCATCCAATCATTTCTTTTTCTCTCCACCTCTTAAAAAACTGATGCCATAAAAATACAAAGGAGACAAAAGGGAGAACAGAGGAGAGCTGCCAAATTCTATTTATCCATGCCGTAAATTTCAACCGCCAAAAATAAAGGAGATAGAAGTTGGTAATTTTCAGCCTAATAAATGACTTTATTATTAACTTTTAGAACACAGCTAATTTTCTGTATTCTCTGATTTGGACAGCCTGTGGAGAGTAAGTGGATATCGTCATCTTGTGATATCATTGCTTTCCGTAAAGCATTATTGAATCCAATTACCGCAAGACAGTTTCAACAGTTTGTGGCTCTAAAAGGAGATTTATTGGAAAATGGGGTGCTCTTTTGGCAAGAAGTACAAAAGTATAAGGTATTGTATTCGAAGCTGGAGAAAACCACCTCTTTTCAAGGAGGAGATGCATTAACATATCAGTTTCCTAACTTTTTGGACAAAATTTGTATAAGATATCCCAACTTCGATGTTTTCATACCAATGTGTAAATATTGAGGTATCTATTGTTCTGTGTTAGATACATTTATTATTATACAGTGAAAAGTAAGAGTTAGCCCTGAAATGATAGTATTAGGTTTTTCAAGGTTTCACGTATATTATGATCTAATGAGAATCTTCCTGAAAAGTTTTAACTATATTTTTGCATATTGCTTATCTATAAATGTACTATACACATTTTTGCTGAAGATATTCATATTCAGTACTTTAACCAAGACCTGTTTGCAAGAATTCCTCCTAACCATATTTGCAGCAATAGTAATAAAAGATAGTGGATTACAGATAAATAAACAACAGAGATGAGAGTGGCTTTACTATTAGAATGGCCAAATTCTTAAAATAAATAAGTGAAAGAACAAGTTATTAGGTGCAAAAGCATTTTATTGTCAGGTTTAAGTGTTTGATGGAATCATATAGAATCTGTGCATTGAGGAGGAGGAAAGGACTTCCTAGGTTATGTAATCTAGACTTGAATACAGGAATGTTGTCTAGAAATACCTAAGAGTAGGCATCCTTGCTCCCAGGGTTAGCAGGCTCATTTCCTTGCAAGCAGCCTATTTAATCCCATTATAAAAGTAGGGAGTAAAACTAAAGCTGGAATTTAAGAGGATAATGCTTTCAATTGGCCTATAATCTACGTATGTATAATATTATGCAGTACTAATACTCTGCAGCATATTTATTCTATATAGTTAATAGTTGCTCAATACAATCTTACTTCCAGACTTTCTCCAGCATTCCATGAAACTGTTTTCTACCCTTTTCTGTTATCACCAGTTTTTGTACCTTTGTCAACATGGAAATTTCCTCAGAAAAAAAAAAGTATTTTGAGATAAGTTTTTTTTAAATCTATCACAAGATAAGTAATACTAAGATAATTTTTTTGAAAATTAAAAAGGAGGTAGAGTCTGTTTTCCATAACAGGAAATTATTATGAGTGAGCAGAACAGTCTTTAAGCTAAAATGAACATGAGTAAGTCCAACCCTGCTAGGATAAGAGGTAATGAGATAAACTGTGCAAAATAAGCATTTAAGAAAACAGACTCATACATAGTCAGCCCTTAACTTTGTGACTGTTTCTCCTTCAAGGCTGCCCTTGGTCTTCATTTAAATATCTTTTCTGTGGTATAGAACGGAGGACATATAATACTAGGTAGCTTTTAAAAATCATGCTTCAAGGGTAAATTTGTTTATTCAGTAAGCATTTACTAAATCACTAATGTGCCAACTATTATGCTAGATTGTAGGAATAAAAAAATGGATAAAATACACTGCCCTCCTTTGAGGAGGGAATCATCCATGAAAACAAAATATCATGAAATAACATTGATTATGATCCCTGTTCTAACTAGTTATAATTTGGGCACAGAGGGGAAAATGATTCAGGGAGGGTGGTAGCTCAGAGAGGTCTCAACAGAAGTGACGATACTTATAGGGAACTCTACTCAATAGTGTGTAATGACCTATATGGGAAAAGAATCTGAAAAAGAGTGGTTATGTATATATGCATAACGGATTCACTTCGCTGTACAGCAGAAACTAACACAACATTGTAAATCAGCTATACTCCAACAAAAATTTTTTTAAAAAGAAGTGGGACTTTCCTGGTGGCGCAGTGGTTAAGAATCCGCCTGCCAGTGCAGGGGAAATGGGCCCGAGCCCTGGTCCCGGAAGATCCCACATGCCGCAGAGCAACTAAGCCTGTGCACCACAACTACTGAGCCTGCACTCTAGAGCCCGTGAGCCACAACTGCTGAGCCCATGTGCCACAACTACTAAAGCCCACGTGCCTAGAGCCCGTGCTCTGCAACAAGAGAAGCCACCACAGTGAGAAGCCCGCGCACTGCAACAAAGATTAGCCCCTGCTCACTGCAACTAGAGAAAGCCCATGTGCAGCAACGAAGACCCAAACAGCCAAAAATAAATAAATAAATAAATTAAAAATAAATAAATAAGAAGTGATGATACTTGAAATGGGTCTTGAAGAAGTTTACCAGGGGGAAAGCATTCCACCTAGCAAGTCTTACTGTGCTCACTTTTATTTTTTTCTTTTTCTGCGGTACGCGGGCCTCTCACTGTTTTGGCCTTTCCCGTTGCGGAGCACAGGCTCCAGACGCGCAGGCTCAGTGGCCATGGCTCACGGGCCTAGCTGCTCCGCGGCATGTGGGATCTTCCCGGACCGGGGCACGAACCCGTGTCCCCTGCATCGGCAGGCGGACTCTCAACCACTGCACCACCAGGGAAGCCCCTACTGTGCTCACTTTTATATGGCTTACTCATATTAAGTGTTCACATCTGTCAGCTATTACCTTAATGCTTTTCATGTAATAACGACTTTATTCTTTATAAGAATCCTAGGTCAAAGCTGTTAATTCTCACCATTTTACAGATGAAGAAGCTAAGGCACAGAGAAGTTAAGAAACTTCTGACATCATACAGCTAATTAAGTAGTAGAGCTGAAATTTGAACTAAGACATTCTATTGCTAAAGCTTGTGCCCTTAATCACTAAGTTATGCTCCCTCCCAGTGATGATTGTAGTAATATGTAAAGAGATGACTACAGTGATCTTAATCAAACATTATTCTGAATTGTGAAAAATTGGAAAGAACCCTGATGTACAACAACAGGACATTGGTTATTTTAATTATGATACATCTATACAGTAGAATACTCTGCAGCCATTAAAAATTATGCTATAGGAGATTAATCAATGAAAAAAGGTATTCATCTTACTGATTTTTTTAAAACCTAGCTACTAGAAAGCAGTATGATTTAATACAAAGTGTGTGTGTGTGTGTGTGTGTGTGTGTGTGTGTCCGTCCCCATAGAGAAAAGACCTGAAGGAAATATACATCCAAGAAATACTTTTTCAGCACCTATCAAGGGCCAGGCTAAATCCTGAGGATACAACTGTGATCAAAACAGTCTTTTCTGTCAGGGCTTACAGTGTTAGGGGAGGGACAGACAAGTGATAGGCAAAGTGATTATAAGAGCGTGATTAGTGTAGTGGTGGGAGAAGCACAGGGTAAAATGGAAATACCTAAGATGGCCATCTCCTGGACTGAAGTAGACACAGAAAGTTTACTAGAGGACAGTACAGTTGAACCTTGAACAACACAGGTTTGAACTGCAAGGTCCGCTTATATCTGAATTTTTTTCAATAAATTCAGACTACAGTACTTCACAATCCACTGTTGGTTGAATCCAAGGATGTGGAACCACAGAAGCAGATGGCCAACTGTAAAGTTATACGTGGATTTCCAACTGCTAGGCAGGGTTGGTGCCCCTAACCCCCACGTTGTTCAACGGTCAACTATGTGCTTAACACATAGGCCTCAATGATAGGTAAAAGTGAACTCGCTAAAGGTATAGTAGGGCAGAACAACTAGAAAAAATACCAATCCTGATTCTATCTAAATTCTATCTCTATACTCTTAAAATTAAAACCGTATAATTTCACAAATTTGTTTTTATTTCATAATCCTTATATTCCATAATAATGAGCCAGGCTCACCAAATATATGATCATTTCCCTAGTAATGGCAAAAAATTTAATTTTTGGTAACATACCAAACATATGTGTTATAAATAGGCATTTTCAGAGGGAATACTAAATTGAGTAAAAAATGCTAACTGTTATCTCAGTGTAACATTTATATCAAGATTTTTTCACATATAACTTATGCCAAATTTCTATATGTAAAGTTTTATATGGCAAGCTCTAGAAATTTTCTTTCTTTAATACTGTCCGTAAGATAGTTATTACAATGCCTGTCATACAGTAACTACTTAATAAATGTTGGCTTATTTCCAGCCTAGAATTACAAGTTTCCAAATTTGTGTGCTTTCTAGTGATTTAGAGAATAATGTCTTTGATAAAAAATGTCATAATTCAAGCTAAGCTACCTCTTTATTTTAAAAAGTGATAGCCTTACATCTGTGACATAAAACTGGGTCTTTTTAATGTACAATTACTATTTTTAAATTCTTTAGCTATAAAGATGAAAATATAATAGGTTATCTGAAAAAATATAGATCCTAAGAGATGCATAATAATACACCTGTAACCACCAGCATTCCCGCTTCTGTTGCTAGCCTTTTTGAGCCTAAATCACCTTGCTGTAGAAGCAGTTATGGTAGAAAAAGCTTTTGCATCCACCAGTAAGTTGAGTAGGGTGCTCTCCTAGGGCCCTGTGTATACCTTTATCATTGCCACTTATTAACTATCTCAGATTGGAAAAACGTTTTTCATGCTTCTCTTCCAGTAGAAATTTTTTTTGAACATCTTTATTGGAGTATAATTTCTTTAAAATGGTGTGTTAGTTTCTGCTGTATAACAAAGTGAATCAGCTAGATGTATACATATATCCCCATATGCCCTCCCTCTTGAGTCTCCCTCCCGCCCTCCCTCTTGAGTCTCCCTCCCACCCTCCCTATCCCACCCCTCTAGGTGGTCACAAAACACTGAGCTGATCTCGCTGTGCAATGCAGCTTCTTCCCACTAGCTATCTATTTTACATTTGGTCATGTATATATGTCATTGCTACTCTCTCATTTCATCCCAGCTTACCCTTCCCCCTCCCCACATCTTCAAGTCCATTCTCTACGTCTGCGTCTTTATTCCTGTCCTGCCCCTAAGGTTCCTCAGAACCACTTTTTTTTCGATTCCATATATATACGTTAGCATACGGTATTTGTTTTTCTCTTTCTGACTTACTTCACTCTGTATGACAGACTCTAGGTCCATCCACCTCACTACACGTAACTCAATTTCATTTCTTTTTATGGTTGAGTAATATTCCATTGTATATATGTGCCACATCTTCTTTATCCATTCATCTGTCGATGGACACTTAGGTTGCTTCCATGACCTGGCTATTGTAAATAGAGCTGCAATGAACATTGTGGTACATGACTCTTTTTGAATTATGGTCTTCTCAGGGTATATGCCCAGTAGTGGTATTGCTGGGTCCTATGTTAGTTATATTTTTAATTTTTTTAAGGAACCTCGATACTGTTCTCCATAGTGGCTGTATCAATTTACATTCCCACCAACAGTGCAAGAGGGTTCCCTTTTCTCCACACCCTCTCCAGCATTTATTGTTTGTATATTTTTTGATGATGGCCATTCTGACCGGTGTGAGGTGATACCTCATTGTAGTTTTGATTTGCATTTCTCTAATGATTAGTGATATTGAACATCCTGTCATGTGTTTGTTGGCAATCTGTATATCTTCTTTGGAGAAATGTCTGTTTAGGTCTTCTGCCCATTTTTGGATTGAGTTGTTTGTTTTTTTGATATTGAGCTGCCTGAGCTGTTTATATATTTTGGAGATTAATCCTTTGTCAGTTGCTTCATTTGCAAATATTTTCTCCCATTCTGAGGGTTGTCTTTTCATCTTGTTTATGGTTTCCTTTGCTGTGCAAAAGCTTTGAAGTTTCATTAGGTCGCATTTGTTTATTTTTGTTTTTATTTCCATTTCTCTAGGAGGTGGGTCAAAAAGGATCTTGCTGTGATTTATATCATAGAGTGTTCTGCCTATGTTTTCCTCTAAGAGTTTGATAGTGTCTGGCCTTACATTTAGGTCTTCAATCCATTTTCAGTTTATTTTTGTGTATGGTGTAAAGGAGTGTTCTAATTTCATTCTTTTACATGTAGCTGTCCAGTTTTCCCAGTACCACTTATTGAAGAGGCTGTCTTTTCTCCATTGTATATTCTTGCTTCCTTTATCAAAGATAAGGTGACCATATGTGCGTGCGTTTATCTCTGGGCTTTCTATCCTGTTCCATTGATCTATATTTCTGCTTTTGTGCCAGTACCATACTGTCTTGATTACTGTAGATTTGAGGTATAGTCTGAAGTCAGGGAGCCTGATTCCTCCAGGTCCGTTTTTCTTTCTCAAGATTGCTTTGGCTATTCGGGGTCTTTTGTGTTTCCATACAAATTGTGAAACTTTTTGTTCTAGTTCTGTGAAAATGCCATTGGTAGTTTGATAGGGATTTCATGAAATCTGTAGATTGTTTTGGGTAGTGTAGTCATTTTCACAGTGTTGATTCTTCTAATCCGAGAACATGGTATATATGTCTCCATCTGTTTGTATCATCTTTAATTTCTTTCAACAGTGTCTCATAGTTTTCTGCATACAGGTCTTTTGTCTCCTTAAGTAGGTTTATTCCAGCTATTTTATTCTTTTTGTTGTAATGGTAATGGGGAGTGTTTCCTTAATTTCTCTTTCAGATTTTTCATCATTAGTGTATAGGAATGCAAGAGATTTCTGTGCATTAATTTTGTATCCTGCTAGTTTACCAAATTCATTGATTAGCTCTAGTAGTTTTCTGGTAGCATCTTTAGGATTCTGTATGTATAGTATCATGTCATCTGCAAACACTGACAGCTTTACTTCTTTTCTGATTTGGATTCCTTTTATTTCTTTTTCTTCTCTGATTGCTGTAGCTAAAACTTCCAAAACTGTGTTGAATAATAGCAGGGTGAATGGGTAGCCTTGTCTTTTCCTGATCTTAGAGGAAATGGTTTCAGTTTTTCACCATTGAGAAAAATGTTGGCTGTGGGTTTGTCATATATGGCCTTTATTATGTTGAGGTAAGTTCCCTCTACGCCTACTTTCTGGAGACTTTTTATCATAAATGGGTGTTGAATTTTGGCAAAAGCTTTTTCTGCATCTATTGAGATTGTCCTATGGGTTTTATCCTTTAGTTTGTTAATATGGTGTATCACAGTGATTGATTTGTGTATATTGAAGAATCCTTGAATTCCTGGACTAAACCCCACTTGATCATGGTGTATGATACTTTTAATGTGCTGTTGGATTCTGTTTGCTGGTATTTTATTGAGGATTTTTGCATCTATGTTCATCAGTGATATTGGCCTGTAGTTTTCTTTTTTTGTAACATCTTTTGTCTAGTTTTGGTATCAGAGTGATAGGGGCCCCCTAGAATGAGTTTGGGAGTGTTCCTCCCTCTGCTATATTTTGGAAGAGTTTGAGAAGGATAGGTGTTAGCTTTTCTCTAAATGTTTGATAGAAATCACCTGTGAAGCCATCTGGTCCTGGGCTTTTGTTTGTTGGAAGATTTTTAATCACAGTTTCAATTTCATTACTTGTGATTGGTCTGTTTATGTTTTCTGTTTCTTCCTGGTTCAGTCTCGGAAGGTTGTGCTTTTATAAGAATTTTTCCATTTCTTCCAGGTTGTCTATTTTATTGACATAGAGTTGCTTGTAGCAATCTCTTATGATCCTTTGTATTTCTGCAGTGTCAGTTGTTACCTCTCCTTTTTCATTTGTAATTCTGTTGATTTGAGTCTTCTCCCTTTTTTTCTTGATGAGTCTGGCTAATGGTTTATCAATTTTGTTTATCTTCTCGAAGAACCAGCTTTTAATTTTATTGATCTTTGCTATTGTTTCCTTCATTTCTTTTTCATTAATTTCTGATCTGATTTTTATGATGCCAGTAGATATTGAGGCTTTACAGGACAGGTGCTGTGTCTTGGGGCTCAGCTGGCATGTAGCAGGAACTTAATATGAATTTGTTAAATGAGTCAAAGTAGACACTAAAGCTGCTCCTTTGCCAGGAGAAGAAACAATCAGGATTAAATGAAACCCGTATTTACGTAAGGTATGTGCATCAAAGTCTTAGGTTCCTTTAAAAGACAGAGATTGACAGAATAGATGGGAAAAACATGGAACTAGGTGCTATCAATGAGACACACATAGATATGAAGACACAGGGTAGGAGCAATAAAGAAAAAAATTTCTTAAGTTTTTCAAATCCAAGTGAAATAAAAGCTATGATCTTTTAAGATAGTCTTGACATGTCCTAGTAACCTCTTGACCTGAAGTTAAAATATATATATATTTACTGACGGACATATTGACACATTCTATAAAGTATTCTATTAATGCATTAATCATATATTGTTCTATCTTTCCTCCTTGTTTAGGACTTGTGCCATTCTCATTGTAGTGAATCCCTCATCCACAAGAAGATCATGACTATTATCAACTGCTTTATTAATTCCAGTATTCCACCAGCTTTACAAATTGACATTCCATTAGAGCAAGCCCAGAAGATTATTGAACACAGGAAGGAGTTGGGACCATATGTATTTAGAGAGGCACAGGTAAGAAATCAGGGCATGTAGTAAGCATACTTTAAAATAGATAAACAATCTAGATATTCTTTAAAAGTTTTTGCATTATTCATATTTGGCAAGGCTCTAATCCTCCTAATCCTGGGTTATTCTATTTAATTTAAAAAATATTGCATATGCCACAGAACATAGAAACTAGTAACTTACTATTTTGTTCATGATAGTATACAGCAAATACAATTATTTAAATTCTGTACTTTGACTTTGCATGGTTATCATTTTATTTCTAACTTATAAAACTACAGCTAATTCCTCCTTCCTTTCCCACCATTCATATTTCCTTTTAAAATGTCTGCTACCACAAAAATGTGTAAAATGTGTGTCCCAAGATTTGTGTATTTTTAAAGGTTGGAATATTCACATAGCTCATAAAATAAGTGAGAGGAGATTTAAGTACCCAACCAACATAAAGTACACAAGCTCATGAAAGGAAAATCATGGCTGTTAACCTACTCAAATTACTTCTTTTTAGGGTAAATAATAGAAAACAGTGATTTGCTGAACATAATTTATTTGCATTTTGAAAAGCCTTTTAGTGATGTTCCTGAAAAATGATTAAGAAAAATACATAATAATAGGGGTAATAGGGAAGGCCATGTCACAATTTAAGTGATATGAAACAGAGATTTAGGGTATGATTGCCTTTGAGCATGGAAAAAGACCATTATTCCTTAATACTCATTTGCAAGCCAGCTGTGTTCTAAGTCCTAAAAGGAACTGAAAGTAGACTCACAATCCAATTATGCATTGAATAGGCAAAAATAAAGAAGAATTATTGAGGATGTGCTAGAGAGAAATAGAAAAAACATGGTGTCAGAATTGTAGCATCTGTTAATGAAAAGATCACTTAGCCTAGCCTAGGTCTCCTGATAGCCGGGAGACCGTCTAGCCTCAAGTCTGACGGTGAATGTCTGGAGCTGCTTACGTAGGTTGGTTCCACTGCACTGTCCAGGGATTGCAGCCAGTGAACTTTATTGGAGTCCTCTAGTTTAGGCCTCCTACCTGATTTCCCAAAACAAAGTCCCAAACATATCTTAAATATGGACTTTGGAGTATCAGAAAACAAGAAAATATTTAGGGGCCTTACCTCACCAAATCTATTGTTTCTGTGTTCTGTAGGAAGCTCAGAGAATGGCATATCTCCTACCCAGGTATGCAAGCCAGAGATCTGGTTGCCATCTTCATGTCTTCCCTATCCTTCATTCCTTACCTTTGGAGATCTTCAGTCACTAATATGTATCCATTTGTCTCCTTCTTATCTGTTATTCTATCTACTTTTCTCCAACTCCATGTTGCTACCTCAGTTCACATCTGCAATGTCTCACATTGATTACCAGAATTCCCTGCCTCTAGGCTCTCTCAAAACCATTTAACTCACTGCAGACAGATCCATCTTTTCAAAATGTATATTTGATCATGTCACTTCTCTGCTTTCAATTTCAATTACTCCCCATTGTCTTCAGAATGAAGACCAAGCTCCTTACTACGTATTTCTCTAGCCACATGTCTTCCCACTCCCTGCCATCTGTCTCCCAGTCTTACTGAAATATTTGTACTTCCATAAAGAGGGCTTACTTTCTTGCTTCCAGAGCTTTTTACAGTATCATCTTCTCTCTCTTATGCTTCTATTGTATCTTGTATTTGTCCCTGTCAGAACACTTATCACACAGAATTGAAAATGGCTATTCTCATGCTTCACTTTCCCATCGGACTGTAAGGTCTTTGAGCGTAGGGAATGTTTCTTATTTGCCTTTGTGGCCTGGGTGCGCGACACTCAGTAACATTTTTGAACATATGAATGAGTGATGTGAGAATAGATGGATCATGACAGGAGTAGATCAAATTGGACATGAGAGCAAAGTTGAGCGAAAGGGCTGAATAATAAATGTAAAAAATGCCTGTTTTAGTATTGTTTTCACTATAGCAGTGGTCCCCAACCTTTTTGGCACCAGGGACCGGTTTCGTGGAAGACAGTTTTTCCACGGACCGGGGGCGGGGGCGTGGGTGGATGGTTTTGAGATGATTCAAGCACATTACATTTATTGTGCACTTTATTTGTATTATTATTACATTGGAATATATAATGAAATAATTATACAAGTCACCAAAATGCAGAATCAGTGGGAACCCTGAGCTTGTTTTCACTTGCTACTCACTGATAGGGTTTCGATATGAACCTGCAAGCAGTTGATTTATTATGGTCTCTGTGCAGTCAAACCTCTCTGCTAATGATAATCTGTATTTGCAGCCACTCCCCAGTGCTAGCATCACCGCCTAAGCTCCACCTCAGATCATCAGGCATTAGATTCTCATAAAGAACGCACAACCTAGATCCCTCACATGCGCAGTTCACAGTAAGGGGGTCACGCTCCTTTGAGAATCTAATGCCGCAGCTGATCTGACAGTAGGCGGAGCTCAAGCAGTACTGTGAATGATGGGGAGCGGCTGTAAATACAGATGAAGCTTTGCTGGCTCACCTGCCACTCATCTCCTGCTGTGCGGTCCTGTCCATGGCCTGGGGGTTGGGGACCGCTGCAATATAGCGTCTGCCTGTCCCCCATCTGCATTCCTAATAGCTTGAAAGTTTTCATCACCCAGCCATATTTTCACTGACCCTTCTCACTCATACTAGAGCATTGCCCATCTGCTGGCAGTGAGCAAAGTAGCTCTATATTTATTAAAACATTTACTTATCCACAGTTTGGTTATCTTTTAAGGTTTTGGAGGTACAGGACAATTTTCATGAATAACATGTATGTTATTAACCTTAATTGCAACTTTTAGAAATAGAGCAATTTTATGTCTACCTTGAAAAATTGTGTCCTAATAGGGTGACTTTTACTGGAAAGCCTTCTAAATGAAAATAAATATATTTAAGAGCTGGGAATGACTCAGGTTTTGGAGGGGTAACTGAGAAGTAGGGTCAATATAGTCGGTAAATAGAGGTGGAGGAGTATTTAAGTTTACAAAGTGCATATAAAAAGTACCATGATCATTTAACATTGGAGAAGGGGATTACTTAATTAAATGCATGGCAGATAAATGTAAATGAAAATTTTTTAAAAGCCTGCACTTCATCAAATAAAGTATGTTTAGCTTTTGTGTTCACAATCCCAAGAGGCTATAGAATTTAATGACAAGATAGTATTGTAAAGGGAGTAAATAGTTTTACTAATGATACTCACGTACAGAAACGAGGAGTCGTGAAATATATCAATTCAGGACGCTGTTGGTCACTGCAGCATTTACTTTTTAAAAATTCCACTTTCCCCCTGAAGAGCTGGCTTAGAGCCTAATGGGTTAGTTCATTTTTCTCCAGGGCATTAGGTATAGGCCATTCCCAGCAACAAAACGTTGGACTTGATCTGATGTGGCAAGTCCTACCTTCTAGGAAGTAATGTATGCCTCTGGAACTAATGGAAAAACTTGGCATGGGAATTTGAGCAACAATTCTTATCTCTTTAAATATCACAATTAATCACTTAATGTAGAGTGTCCTAAGAAAGCATTTGTGCAGGATACCACTCTGCTTTTTAAATGTTACTTTTCTTGCTCTCACATAAAAGAGAGATTGTATCATTTAAAAGTTACTCAAGATTTATTCTTAGATCTGCAGCTTTGTTTAAGAGCTTTTCCAGAGGCAAAATGGTATTTTCTTTCTCTAAAAGAAGGGAAAGGGGACCGGAGAGGAGTTCCCCTTGATGAACTGAATATTTGGAATACTTGCATAAAACAGCAGAGTGTGTGGCAGATCAACTGGTGTATGTTTTCAAAGAAAACATAAATTTCTTATTTAAAAAGACCTAATGGATTCTTTATTAATACAATCAACTGGATAGGGAAACATAAAGCATAAAGTGACTTTTAACTGTATTTAAGAGTATGTTTTTCTTAAAAGAAAGACTTCTCATTGGTAGTAAAATAACATTGATGATAAGCATGTGCTGAACTAAACTATACCAAGATGTCTGGAGACAATAAGTTGGAGGAAACATGCTGTATATTAAAGAATAGAATAGTTAATCCATTATTATGGTGAATTAGAGTTTAAATTGGTACATTTGTATAAAACTGTAATCTGAGACATACTTTGTTTTATATACAGATGACAATTTTTGGAGTTCTGTTTAAATTTTGGCCTCAGTTTTGTGAGTGTAGGAAGAACTTAACTGATAAAAAAATTATGAGTGTTTTGGAGAGAAGACAAGAATATAGTAAGCAGGAAAAAAAATCGGTAGTCACGGAAGACGAAAAATTTGCAAAGGTGAGACAAGAATCATTTTGGGTTTAATCAGACTTTTAAAAGTTATGTGATATGTGTAGAAGAATTTAGGCTGAGCAAAAATACAGAGAAGTTATAGAATACAGATTTTAGTGGTTTTTAAAGGCTTCAGTCAGAGGTTTCAGACTTGTTTTTGAATTTTAAAAAATTTATCTCAAATGTCATCTCTTCTATGTACCTCTCTTGGAGAACACTTTATATTGTCTTGTGAATAAATTTTTGCATTTGTTTTTCTCACTGGACTGAGATCCTCAAAGATACCATCTGTCTTATTAAACAGTTCTACCACTATCCAGCACATGCTCAATTATAAATTATTGTTTACCAAATAAATATGGGAATGAATGAAAAAATACTGTGTACTGGGGGCAGCATTTTCAATATTAAAATTAGAGAATGATATATGACTGTGAAATTTACAAATGTAAGTCATAAACTGTTCAGCCTGCCTATTTGTCTTTTAGTCTGACCATTCATTTATCAGTTCCTCTATCTTTATATTTATCTATTTTCCTTGACTTGAAAAGGGATAACAAGTAATATATTTCATCTTATTTGTAAGTTTATCCCTATTGTGTTTTTAAAAAGAAATTTAAAAGATAATCTAGGGGCTTCCCTGGTGGCACAGTGGTTGAGAGTCCGCCTGCCGATGCAGGGGACACGGGTTCGTGCCCCGGTCCAGGAGGATCCTACATGCCGCGGAGCGGCTGGGCCCGTGAGCCATGGCCGCTGAGCCTGCGCGTCCGGAGCCTGTGCTCCGCAACTGGAGAGGCCACAACAGTGAGAGAGGCCTGCGTACCGCAAAAAAAAAAAAAAGATCTAAAGATATAAAAGTAATATAATTATAACACCCATATTTGCACAGGTCAAAATAAACACTGTTAACATTTTCCTCATTTGCTTTTCATTTTTCCTTAAGAAGTGAAATACTGCAGAACAGTAAACTTTCTTAACTCCAGCCCTGAGTTCTATTACCCTCCCCGTCTCCAAGAGCAACCATTAAGTTTGGGGTATGTTCTCACAGCTCCTTTTTAAGATAGTGTTTTATATGTTGTATGGAGTCATAAACAATCCAGAGGACTGTTTTTTTGTGTGTATTTTAACTTACGTAATGGTACCATATTTTATTAGTCTTCTCAGGCTACCATAGCAAAATATCAGAGACTGGATGGCTTAAACAACAGAAATTAATTTCCTCATAGTTCTGGAGACTAGAAGTCCCAGATCAAGGTGCCAGCTAATACGATTCTTGGTGAGACCTCTCCTCCTGGCTTGAAAATGGCCACCTTCTTGTTGTGTCCTCACAAGTTGGGGAGAAAAAGAGTTCTCTCTCTCTTCCTCTTCTTATAAAGCCACAGTTTCTTTGGATTAGGACCCTACCTTTATGACCTCATTTAACCTTAAGTACCTCTTAAAAACCCTATCTCATGATACAGACACAGTGGAAGTTAGGGCACCAACATATGAATTTGAGGAGACACAATTCATTCCATAGCACATATTGTGCTTTCTACATCTTGCATTTAAAATTCAATTTTGTCTTTTAATTCTACCCACACTGCTCTACTTAGATCTCATTTATTCAGTTTAATTGCTGCATTTCCATCATATGAATAAATATACTATTTTTATTTAACTTTTTTTTTTTTAAGTTTTGGCTGCGTTGGATCTTCACTGCTGCACACGGCCTTTCTCTAGTAGTGGTGAGTGGGGGCTACTCTTCGTTGCGGTGCGCGGGTTCCTCATTGCGGTGGCTTCTCTTGTTGCCGAGCACAGGCTCTAGGTGTGAGGGTTTCAGTAGTTGTGGCTCGCGGGCTCTAGAGCGCAGGCTCAGTAGTTGTGGTGCACAGATTTAGTTGCTCCGCGACATGTGGGATCTTACCGGACCAGGGATCGAACCCGTGTCCCCGGCATTGGCAGGCGGATTCTTAACCACTGCACCACCAGGGAAGTCCCTATTTCTTTATTGTTGGAGTTTTTTCAATTTTTACCATTGCAAACAGCACTGCAGACAACATTCCTGTAAACGTCTTCATATTCACATGTATAAAAATGTTTTTGGAATGGCTGAGTAAGAGAGTATGAGCGTGTGTCAATCTATATTCCTACTTCTCCCCATTTGGTTTGTTCAGACTTTGAAATTTTTGTCAGTCTGTTGATGACAAGTGGTATGTCATCATGCTGATGCCTTTATTTACGTTCACCTAATTATTAGTAAGGTGGAACAACTTTTCACATGTTCACTATTCAGATATTTTGATCAGGATTGTAATGAACATATAGGTCAGTTTGAGAACTGATGTCGTAACAATACTGTGTCTTCTGCTCCATGAACACAGTTTATCTCTGTTTAGTTATTCTTTCATTTCTCTCATCGATGATTTGTCATTTTCAATGACAGGTCTTGAGTATATTTTGTGAAATTTATACCAAAGTATTTCATGTTCAAAATAATGCTATTGCTATAATATTTTTAAATTTAAAATTCCAAATTATTTTTTAGAAAAATTTTTATTTTGAAATAATTAACATTCACAGGAAGTTGCAAAGATAGTAGAGAAGTCCCATGTACCCAATCACCCAGTTTCCCCCAGTGGCTACACCTTACATTAACTATATACAATAGTAAAATCAGGAAATTGATATTGATACAAGGTGTGTGTATAGTTCTATGCCATTTTGTCACATATGTAGATTCAAGTAACCAAAACGATATTCAAGATGCACCACAAAGATGTCCCTCGTGACTATAAGTCATATCCATCCAATTACCCATTATAATGTCTGTTAGCCATGGATCTGTTCCCCATTTAGAAAATTTTGTCGTTTTGAGAATGTTATATAAATAGAATCGTACAATATGTGACTCTTTGAGACTGGCAGTTTTCACTCTACATAAATACCCTTGAGATCCATCCACGTTGTTGTGTATATCCGTAGTTCGTTCTCTTTAACTGCTGAGTAGTGCTCTGTGGTACATTGTACCACATTTTAACCATTCACTCATTAGAGGACATTTGAGTTGGTTTCTATTTTGGGCTATTACAATAAAATGCTAATGTAGTCACTCTTGCCTTCTTCTTCTCCTCCTCCTCCTCCTTCTTCTTCTTCTTTTATTTGCATGCTTTTATTTAATAATAGCTTTACTGAAATTTAATTCACATACAATAAAATTCACACTGTTAAAATATACAATTTTGTGGTTTTAGTATATTTACGGAGTTGTGCAACCATCACTACTACTTAATTTTAGAACATTTTCATCACCTCCAAAAGAAACTGTACCCATTAGCAGTCACTCCCCTTTACTCCTTCCCTCTCAGCCTCTGGAAGCCACTAATCTACTTTCTATATCTGGACATTTCATGTAAATTAAATCATACAGCATGTGGCCTTTTATGGCTGGCTTCTTTCACTTAGCATGATATTTTCAAGGTTCATCCATTTTGTAGCATGTTTCACTACTTTATTCTTCTTACGGCCGACTAATATTGTACTATATGGCTGTACTACAGTTTGCTTATCCATTCATCAGTTAATGTACTTTTTGGCTATTATTAATAATGCTGCTATGAACATTCTGTACAACCTTATGTATAGACATGTTTTTATTTTTCTTGGGACCTAGAAGTTGAATTGTTGGCTCCTTTTGAGGAACTGCCAAACTTCTGCAAAGCTACAGAACCATCTTGCTATCTTGATTTTCACATGGTATATTTTTCCATTCCTTTACTGCCTACATCATTATATTTTAATTAAGTTTCCTGTAAACAGCATATAGTTGTGTCGTGGTGGTGTTTGGTTTTTGTTTTTAGTCTACTCTACGAATTTCTGTTTTTTTAATTGGTGTATTTAGTCTGTGTATCTTTAATGTCATTATTGATTTGTTCTTAACTCTGCCATTTTATTTTTTGTTTTATTTGTTCCCTGTTTCTTTTGTTCTATTTCCTTTGTCTCGCATTCCTGTGGATTTACTTGAACATTTCTTAGAATTTCATTTTGCTGTATCTCTGTTTGGATGTTTCAGTGGTTGCTTTAGATATCACATTATACATGCATAACTTATCGCAGTCTATTGGTGTTGACATTTTACCAGATTGAGTCTAGAAACTACCTCCCTTTAAGTCTCTTTCCCCTCACCTGTTTATAATTATCCTAACTATTTCTCAACATACATTGAGAACCACATCAGACAATTGTATAAGTTTTTCTTCAACCATCAAACATAAATCAGGAAACTCAAGGTGAAAAGTCTACTGTATTTACCCTTACTTTTGCTCTTGCTATTTTTCTTCCTTTTTGATGTTCCAAGATTTATTATTTTCTTCTTTCTTTTTTCCCTGTAAGTAAGGTATTGTTTCTCACTTACTGCTTTCAAAATTCTTTTCTTTGTCTTTAGTTTTCAGAATTTTGATTATGATGTGCCTTGTGCAGATTTCTTTGGGTTGATTCTGTTTGAACATTACTCAAGTTCTTGACTCTGTATGTTTATATCTTCTGCCAACTTTGGAAGAGGGGAATTTATATTCATATTATATATGTGTGTGTATATATGTATATATACACTTTCTTTATGATCGATATTCATGAACCCTTGGGTACCTTATAGCTTCATTTCTGAGAGATTTTTATTTTTTTCAGTCTTTTTTTAAGTTCAGTAAACTGTCATTTTACACTGGCTTTTAAAATTTATCTGTTTCTGTTCTGAGTTTCTTTTTTTTTAACATCTTTATTGGCGTATAATTGCTTTACAGTGGTGTGTTAGTTTCTGCTTTATAACAAAATGAAACAGCTATACATAAACATATATCCCCATATCTCCTCTCTCTTGCATCTCCCTCCCACCCTCCCTATCCCACCCCTCTAGGTGGTCACAAAACACCAAGCTGATCTCCCTGTGCTATGTGGCTGCTTCCCACTAGCTATCTCTTTTACATTTGGTAGTGTATATATGTCAATGCCACTCTCTTACTTCACCCCAG